ACTTTCGGTCCATGCGAGGACTGTTCAGTATTTGGCCTTCGCCGCCGCAATCCGAGGCGAACTCCGATCTCTGAAGCGGTAACTTCCTCGGAGTTCGGTTCCACCTAGGGCTATCGTTGGCGGAATCCGATAAGGAGATGCCGAAGAACTCGTTGCTCGTCACAACGTTGGGGGTCTTATCGTCTTCGTCACCCTCCGGCACCATCGGCATTGGACCACCCTTCCCATCTTCCTTCACTGTTAAAACACATAAATCCAATATTCTCAAAATCGGTATAATTAAGAAACAAGACAAGTATATATATGAATATATGAGTTAATCGTATCACATGTTCTTAAAGTATAATCTTTATTTTAAATTAGTCTTTAAATTTTTAAATATTTTAATTTTATCCCTAAACTATGATTATCATTTTAAATTAGTCCCAAACCTTTGAACATTCCAATTTTATCCCAAACTATATGTGTACACTAATCACATCCATTGTTAATAAAATTTTTAGGCTAGGTTATATTATTATATGTTTGAAAATAAACAAAATTTAGGTTAAATTATGGTTGAAATTAATTCCATATTTGGATAAATTTGAGGATAAAATTGGAATATTCAAAATTTTGAGGACCAATTTAGAAATAGTTCATAGTTTAGAGATGAAATTAGGATGTTCAAAAGTTTAAGGACTAATTTAGAATGAGAGTCGGTTTAGGGATGAAATTATAATATTCAAAAGTTTAGGAACTAAATTAAAATGAGGGTTATATTTTAAGGATATATGATGTAATTAACTCTCATTATATATATGCTTGGAATTTGAAATTCGCATGGCTTTTCACCTTTTGAGCGATCATTATCCTCAAGAGCCTCTGGTTCATCAAGTTTAAGCTTTAGCTCCGAGTATTTAATCTGCAGCATATTATCAGGAAGAGTCCTGGGAGAAGGAGAAGGAGCCATGGAAGATAAGGAATAAATTTTGTCCTTTGAACCGGTAAACTTCACCTTCAATGGCTGCCCACAGCATGTACAACGATGCTCATTGCTCTCTCAAAAACCGCCGGTTCTTCATCCCTTTTAGCTCCGAAAGGCATCGAGAACTGAACCTCACCGTCTTCGTCCACCAACAACTGATCGACGTCCTTGTGTAGGATCCCGAGAAGCGACTTGTACCGATCGCAATCGGTGTCTTTCTCGGTGGCGAACGACAGGAGGCAGCTCTCGCACAAGTTCCGGATGTCTGAAAGCTTCTGTGGGCGTGACAGAAGGCAAGACACGACACACTCTTCTTGTGTTCGTCACATATGGACTCATTGTAATGGACATGGCTGGTTTTTCCGAGGAGGAGGTGATGGAGCCTGGCGCAAAACAAGCAAGGGATCGGCAACTCGACGAACTTGGCGAATTCGTTCGATACGAACGCCACGAACCCGCCCACGAACAACATGAAGATCATCGCCCATTCCAGCAGCGCGTAGATGAAGAACTTCGGGATGGATCCGAGTTCTTCTTCTACGAACTGCTTAAACGATCGTCTCCCCATTTCTCTCCACAAAATTTTTACCGATATCAACGTAAACACACGTCGATGTACAGGATTATTTTGTGGTTTTAGGTTGGACGGGAGAGATCATGACAGGGTTAGGGTATAGCCTACCGATATCATGACCTCTCTCTCTTTGTTTTTCCGGCACAAGAGAGGAAGGCGATGAATGTTAGTGCTTGATCGCAAGGGAAATCAAGGATTAGGGTTGTGTGATTTCTTCCACTACAAATAGGGTTTCTTGGGACAAGTTTGGAGTTTTTCGCTCACCTTCCAACCAAGTGTACCCATGTTTTCCACTTAGATTAATTTTAGGGTTTTCTTCATGGGAAGTTTACCCATTTGGCAAAGGGATGGAATTAATCAATTAGTGCTAAAAACGGCAAGATATTTATGGGATATTTATTATTCCATCGATTATATGATATTATTTTATTAAGTTCCCTAACTATTAAAAGTTACAAAATGGTCCTTCGACTATAGAGAGTTGCCTTATTGAGTCCCTTAACTATTAAAAGTTACCAAATGGTCACTCGACCATTCATTATGTTTTAAATTTGTCAATTACTGTTAAAAGATGAACAACCATATGAGTTGGACATTAACATGTTAACTAAGATATGATAGTCGTTTGAGATTATGAGGTCGTATTTTATCATGTCTGAGTAAGTTAACATACAATTCATACTTTCGCCATTTTTTTAACGGAAAAGAACGAGTTTAGAACATAATTAATAGTCAAGTTACCATTTCGTAATTTTAAATAGTCGAAGGACTTAATAAAGTAATGTCCTATAGTCAAGGGATCATTTATGTACTTTACCCATAAATTTCATTCTAATATTTTAAAGTATTTTAGAGGTCATACGTAGATAATCTTCTTTATCATTAAACTCTTAAAAATCATTAAATTTATCTAATTGTTATAAAATAATAATAATAATAATAATTAATGATTGTTTTATGACTTTTTAAAAATTCAATAATCATATACTTCATTTTTTTTATTACGTTCAAGTTCATGATATGAATTTTGTTTGATTTGATTCAAATAGTTTATAGTACGACTGGTTTAGTAAAAACATAAAGTAAAAGAAAATGCGAATAATTAGTGGATGTGGGTACAAGTACAACTTCATTTAGCTAAGGTTATTGTGGTCATTAGGGGTGTGAAAAAAAAACCGATCTGATTTTTAATTTTTGGATAGTTCGGATCGGGTATCCGAATTTTTTTTCGAATTTTCGGATCGGATACGGATCAATCAAAATCCAATTTCGGATTATCCGAAAACCGAAAAAATTTAGGCTATTATCTTGTTCTGTCATTTCATTTTTTTGCTTCTAGAGATGATAAGGCCCGATGTTTGGAAGAAACCCAGAAATCATTCAAGTTTTACAGGACATCCTTCGACTCATTTTGTCCTAATTCCTACCTGCTTCGTTTGCCGCGGTCTTCAAGGATCAAATACTAACGCTACCCAAAAATGACATGTTAATCCCAATTAGACTATGTCCTTGAAAAACTCAAATAAATTTATGATACGTAATATCAATAAAATTATCTGCCGGAAATGCTTTCGTATTCTCTGCCTGAATGGTCCTGTTTCGTTGTAAGTCCCGATAATTTTGACTCGTAATTATATTATACAACCTATGTTATATGGACTTTCCACAAACATAAAGCATTGTTGATATGTTCACAGAAGAAGCAAAAAGAGTTACAAAAGAAGATCCTTAAACTTTCAGCTTACTTTTTTTATCTCACCAGTCATCAAATGTTCTCATAAATCCCACGAATAAAGCCAGGTATTCCATAACAATTGCCACGTAAAATCTCCATTCTACCATGCAACAAAGAATGCTCCAACTGTATCAAGCTGGAATTGCTAATGATGCCACAGTATTCGTCAACGGAACAGTGGAATACTATGCGATTAATTCACTGAAATATAACTCTACCAAAATTTATGATGGTGCCATCGTATTTAGGGATGGCAATGGGTCGGGTCAGGTCGGGTCGGGTTTTTGGGCCACCCGACCCGAGAGGAAAGGGTTCTCCACTCGTGACCCGACCCGACCCGACAAAATTAATGTTTCACCCGACCCGACCCGAATATATGACTTAGAAACCCGACCCGACCCGAAATAATAATAAAAAATTTAATTCAATGAAAACTGACTTAATTGAAAAAAAATTATATATGGAGGGATATTATTGTAATTATCCCTAAATATATAAGATAAAATTATATATATTTTTCGGGTCGGGTCGGATTTTTTTTACCCTAAACCCGACCCGACCCGAACAGTGCATTTAAAAAAGCCCGACCCGAACCCGAATTTTTTTTTAAAAAATCCGACCTGATCGGGTCGGGTCGGGTCGGAACCCGTCGGATTCGGGTTAAGTTACCATCCCTAATCGTATTTCGTAGGATACATAATGATTGATGCATTAAGGCCTGAGAAGTGCGTATATCTTGGAATATATATAGTGTTCTTTACATTCATCAATCTTAGAATTAGTATTTAATTTATGTTAATTTTTTATGAACAACTAAAAAAAGACGAGGACATTAACATTGGTAGAAATAAAAATATTAATTTTAAAAATTATAATATTACATATTTAATAAAATATATTTCGTTTGGGAATAAGATGATGATCCCGTAACAAGTAATAGTAAAGTATCTTGTTAACTATCAGATTTAATTTCAAGTGTTTGGATGGATAAGATTAATAAAAAAAATAAAAAAAAAGGAGAATTTTTTTTCTAACAAAAATCGGATTCAGATCCGGATCCGGATATTTGGATATCCGATCCGAAATTTCGGATATCTGATTTTTTCAGATCAGATACGGATCATTACTTTAAGTATTCGAAATTTTCAAATATACGAAAATTCGAATCGGATAATAACCAATAATGCACACCCCTATTGGTCATACAATTAAATATGTATATAGGTTTTAGGTCGTGATGTATTTTTGTATAAAATTTTTCTTCTTTATCCGTGTTTTTTTCTTCTAATTTTTTTATAAATTATATTTCTTTTTTATTATTTTACAACCATTTACTCATCTTTATCTATAACAGATTAATTGATTGGTAACAATCATTGATCATAGTCAACTAATATTGTTTTGACCAAATATCGATTATTGTCGTGCGTCTAAAAATGCCACATCATCGATGACGTGGATAAAGAAGTATCACCTTCTTTTAAAAATATAAATCCAAAACATAAACATGTCATCTTCTCATATCAAGACAATAAAAACAACACACAATGTTCACATAAAATTGTCTGATCTACCAAAAATATTGAATCTTTACCACAACACCTTGATATTTTCTTGTAAAAAACACAAGAAAAATCCCATCAAGATTTGCAAGATGGGTAATCGAAAACAAAAACAAAGGGATTCGAAAAACCACTTACATAATTTTTACCTTATGTTCTTTATTTTTTTCCCCAAGCTTATTATAATTCAATGTCATTCTTAAGCAACACTGATGATGTTATTGCTATCTCCATTGCTAAAGTTCGGCATCACCTGAAACGGAGAATGCCTCAAGGCTGAAGACGATGAATCCGTTTGATCAGATTGCAAAGAGAGCTTGAGTGACAACGATAACGGCTGGGAAGCCGGATTGAGGTTAGCTGTTGCAGCATTGTTATTTGATTGATTCCCCCGTGCTATGGTGAGATTTTCGACAGGATTCTCGGCCGGAACCGGAGGAACTAAAGGATTAAAAGCTATCGGAAAAGCAGCCGGCATCATGGGGAATACATTGGTCTCAGGTGGTTGATTTGTGTTGTCTTGCCGATCAACTCGCTCTTCTTCCATTGGAATTGCTTGTACCTAACCAAATAGTATCAAAATAGAAAGGTCGACACATAGGCCTGTGAATTATGAGAGTATTTACACATTAAATGCAACTGTTATAAGATGTACTTAAATTTATCGAAATGTGTAGCTATTTTAACATTACAGGGGATTATTTTGTGATTGTTTAAGAAGTTTAATGACCATTTTATAATATTTGAAAGGTCACTGAACAATGAATCATTTTTACATATTTCACCTCTGAACCCTTAAATTTCTAGATTCGTCAGTTTTCCAAGCAAAACAAAGAGAAAAAATGTTGAAAAAGGAATAGTAATGAGCAATACCGTATCGGTGGTAATATCGAAGAGGCTAGATCTACGGCGGCGACGGTTGAGATTGCTTCGCCGGAGAAAATATTTCTGAGCATGGCTCGCCACTTGTGTCGGCGTACGAGTCTTCACGAAGTTTCTAGAAATCCCTCTCCAATCCCCTTTGCCTACTTTTTGCAGTCCTACCAGAAACAGCTTGTGCTCTTCCTCCGTCCACGGAACTCCTAAATTCCATTTCCATAAATTCCAAAACAATAAAAAACTTAGAAATCCCTCGTTTGCGCTCGCGATTCCAGGTGGTGTGAGGAACGGCGTCATCGGCGGAGGCGTAACCGGCGTTGAGGTTATCATCGCCGTGATCTTTGTTGTTCTTGTTGTTGCCGTCCTTGTTCAATTCATGAGGCTGTTCGTACTGAGAGAGATTGTTCATACTAACACTCTTCCTCATGGAATCAACCACCACTCTGACTCCGAAAAGCATGATCTCTCCACCTCCACCGCCGTTCGCGGTGCACGAAGAGGCTGAGGGGCAGGTGGTAGGTTGAATCCCCATGTTTTTCCCCCTTCTTTCGATCTTTCGCGGCGAAGGAATCTTTAGGCCGTACAAATTGAGAAGGGAAAAATGCTAAATAACCGATCTGCGATGATATATATATGAGGGACAACGGTGAGGTGGCACCACGCTGTGGTGACTGTTTTCAATCTGCGATAGAACACGTGTCGCATAATGTTTGGTTACTGTGTCTTGTCTGCTTGTAATTCTCCAAAAAGATATCGGAGTGGGCTTTCTTTTTATCGACAAAATAGCGCCGCATTGTTATTATTAAAAATTATCCCTACCCTTTATTTTTTATCTTTAATTTATTTAATAAATATGATATTTTTATTTATTAGGCTTAATCAATAGAATATAATACACTCGAAATAACTCAAATAGGTTGTCATAAATTAATTTTTTAAATAAAATCAATTTATTTAAAGTTAAAACACTCAATTTTAAATTTATCGGTCTCATTAATTTAAACATCTTATTATATCAGATATTATATTTCACTTCTTTTAAGACATAATAATATAATAGTATGCACCAACAACCTTTTTAATCGTTGCAACTATACGAGGACAATTGCACATGGAAGTGGAGGGAGCATTTCGTGAGAAAATAATATTTTACTCAATCCTTCTTCTTTTTATTTAATTCACATGAATCCAGTCAACATATTTTTTTTACTTTAAAAACTTGTCAACATGTAATTAATAATATCTTTTGTGTCATAATAATTTGGATTAATACACTTTTAGAGGTCTAAATTATACTTTAAATTGACTTTTAGTCTCTAAAAAAATTATGCTGAAAATAAGTATTAATATTTTCAACTTTACATTTTTAGTTGTCAGGACTGTAACGGTCGTTAAATTTCGTTGTTATTTAACACGTGTCACACATATATTTTTTTTTAAAAAGATTAATATTATATTTTTAAAAAAAATAAGAACTTCAAAATTCCACCGTCAATCGGCCATCGTCAGTCCGTGATATCACCTTTGGCTCCATCAAAACCGTCTCGCCTCCACGACCAAATCCAGTCCTCCCCCACTATGAAACTGCGTTGGTTGTCGTGAAAAGCATCGTGTAGGGTCGTCAACTTTCTAAGTTTTTCTTCATTGTTTTTCGACGATTCCGACAGCTACAGTTGATCATACATTACACAACCGCACCATTCATTCTGCTCCGAACAAAACCCAGCCACTAGTGACCCTCCGTCGTAGTCAGAGGTGGGAGGGAAAAGGGCGACACATGATTGATTTTTTTGAATTTTTTTTAAAGAAATGTTTTTATTATTAAAAAATAAAAAATATAACGGTAGACATCTAAAAAATTAACGGAAAAAACGTTAAACATATATTTTAACGAAAAATTCTTTAACCACAAAAAAAATCAATTTGATGTATAATTTCGACATTTTAAAATGTACTAAACCTAATAATTTTAGCATACTATCATATATTTTACTAGTACTTTTACAAACTTTATATATATATATATATATATATTACATTTTAATTATTTGATCAAATTGAGTAAAATATAAAGTTAATGAACTATATTGCAAAAAGAAAAAGTTTGTTATTAAGAATATAAATTGGAGTTTATTAGGTATTATATAGTGGTCAAAGAACATGTGGTTTAATTTTGGTTAAAATGGACCTAAAATGAATAATAAATTAAATAAATAGAGAAAAAAAACATAATGATATAACTACCCCTAACGTTTGTAAAAATGGTCACTTTGCATCCTATTATTTTTTTGAATCATTTCATCCTAACGTTTCAATTTTAGTCAAAATATACTCTATTAAATGAAAATCATTAGTTGACTAACGATCAACATATATTGCTGACATGACATTATCATATATGATAAATTGATGATATGACATGTTCCATGTCACCTAAAATAATGACGTGACATGTGTTATCTCATCTAAAATGATGACGTGACATGTGCTAAAACACCTAGAATGATGACATGACACATGCCACGTCAAGAATTGAACGCATGTGTGAATGCCACGGTAGAAGCATATGTTAAAAGTTAGTCAATTAACGGTTTCCATACAACAAAAGTTATTTTGTTAGAAAATGAAATGTTGGAGGATAAAATGATCTAAAAAATAATAATATGGGATAAAATGATCATTTGTGCAAACATTGAATAATTGTGTCATTATGCCACTAAAAAATAGGAAATTTGTTGTCAAGAGAGGAGTTGAATCTACTTATATATTCTAAAATAGTTTATGAACATGTAGTTCGATTTGATCAAAAATTAACTAAAAACAAAAGATGAATTGAACAAATTAGGAAATTAGGACCAAATTACAAAATAGTCAAATTATTTAATTAAAGACCATATGATGTTGTTTTAGTTTTCATTTTTCCGATCTTCTAATTTCGTAAATTCAAATTTGAATCGAACTTAAAATTTGAGTTGACTCAATTAAATTAAATATCTCGATTATCTGAACTTAATTAACTCGAAATTTAAGAAAAATCTTCAAATCAAATCAAGTCGGATTTTATTATTCTTTATTCTATATAATAATTTTTCACTTGAAGAATCACATTACTACACGTTTCCCTAGCTTTGATATTGAACTAATATATAAGTAGATAAATAATTTGGATTGGTAATATGTATTTATGTCGAGATACTAGTAGGTTTCGTTAGAAAAAAGTGTATAAAATTATGAAATATGAAATCATAATGACTATTGTTATCTATAAAACGCATCGCTTGAATCTCTCGCACTTTCTAAAGCGGAAACCCATTGCATGCAATTTCGACACGTGTCAATATTTGATTCTCCCACGTCATATAAATTCCCCCAATGTGGGCTCCTCTCATTGGCGCGCGCCAATTGTCGATTCCTCATAGTGAAGAAAAGAAAACAAAAACGAAAAACAATTGGTCTATAAGCCGCACCGGTTCAACCGTTGTGTCAGATGAAGTGGCGTGTTGGTAAATAAAATGAACAAAATAGGGTATTTAGGTAATAACTGGAAGGACTTTCAGTTCCCAACTGACAGCTGCTATAAGGGAAAGGGGTAAAAAACTAAAACCAAACAACCTCTTTGTTCTCTCATTTGCTATTCTGCTTCACAATTTGGTCTGAAAAGACACAGTATCAGTTCGATGCAGCAGTAGTTACAATGGCCGATTCAGAGGTAAAGTAACTCCACCACCTCTCTGCATAACATAGTTATTGTTCCTTTTTCCAGTGGATTTCAGTATTTCTTTGTTTTATTTTATCTGTTTTAATTTTTGGGTTTTTTCTTTAAGAGTTGATTTTGATCCTTCTATTGGTTCGAAACGACGGTTTTTTGATGTGGGGTTTCTTTGGTGATTTATGGGTATCCTGTGTTTTGAACAGAAATTGACGGCTTTGAAAAAGGCTTATGCCGAGATAATTTTGAACACGGCTAAAGAAGCGGCGGCGAGGATAATGGTGTCGGAGAGGAAGGCTCAACGGTACCAGAAGGAGCTGTTCGCGGACAAAGATGAGGCATTGCGTATGTTGGTTAGGTTGAAACAGATGTTGGATGCTAAGGTAACTGTTTGGTCTTTGTTTCTGTTAATTTTCTGTTCATGTCCGATTATGATGTTTCAGCATGTTTTCATAATGTCGGTTTCATCTGGATAATTGCTTGTTTGGAGGTTTATGTTTTTTTATGTTTGGTTGCCTTTTGTTTCAAATTGCTTAGTTGATTGTATTTGCATTATATGTGTTTTGCTAAATAGATACTTCATCAATTTAGACTTGATTGCTCATTTTAATAAGCATTATGAATAGGGATGGACGCAGGATTTTATGTTGGGGGACTTAAACTTAAGGGATGAACTAAAATTCCAGGGGGCCGAAAAAGATTTTCAATAAAAAATACATAGAAAAAATTTAAAATATATGGTAATTTTAAATTTTTAGGGGGCGACTGCCCCCCGGTCTATCCCTGATTATGAACACTATACAAGCGTGGTGAGCTTGACAGAATGCAATTCATGAATTGGAATTGCCTTTTCGTTATTAGATTGTTATCTGTTGACATTTCTGTTTGCTATGCGTTGCTTTGATGAGAGGTTATGCGCTATTTAGTTTTATCTTAAACCCCCGAGCTTTATATGGTGAGAAAGACGTATTTGTTCGTGTAGGACATGTTTGACATAGATAAGCTCTAACCTTTATAGATGAGTAGTTGGTCCATCAAGCCAATTCTTATAGTATTTCCTGTCCTTGCCATGATTTTAGGTTAATGAAGCAGAGACGACGTCCTTGAATCAACAGAAAAGAATCGAAGAGCTGGAAGCACAACTGGGGGAAGCAGAGGATATAGTTAAAGATCTTAGAGCTGAGTTGAGAGAAGCTCAAGATGAGTTGGAGAAGCTGACCAAAAATGCGGTCCAGTGTTCAGGCGAACAAAAATCAGAACATGATGTTGCTGCTTGTGAAAAACTGACAAATGGAAATGCAATCAGCAGTTTCGGGCCTGTCATATCTTCTCAACTCGATACACAAACTGACATTGTGACGGTTTCTGACATCAAGAGTTCAAAAAATGTGGGTATTAACTGTTCTTGTAAAGATAATTGCTATGTTTGTAACCCCGATTTTGCCTCCATAGTGATGAGACGAAAAGAGCCTGATCTGTATAGAAATGGGTGCACTCAGAGGATTCGTGCACTTGAAAGGTGTCTGTTGAATGAAAATTTATCTCCTTCGGGGCAAGTAGATGATGCTAAGAATGAATCCGCTAGAGAAGATGAAAAAGGGAGGGATATGCACACAAAAGTTCATCGACCTGAGGAGAAAATAGACGAGTTCAAAGTAATGCAAACTGATGTTCATGACAACATTCAAGCACTTCCTGTTAGTCATTTTCGCAGGAAAAGGAAAAGAGTGTTAGGTACAAGAAAAATATAGTTTCCTCATCTATGGATATGCGTGATCAGGTCATAGCAAAATGCCAAAAATCTGATCTACTGTGCCCTGAAAATTTTTCACATGCTGTTGATGAGAACCCTCGATTTGGGGGAAATTGTAGGATCATCAACCATGATGCTCCAAAGGGTTCTCGCA